TCAAGCATAGAACAGGACAGGCCCTGCACCGCGATCGAGAACGCGGCGGGCATAGCAACGCCTATCTTGGTCATGCGGAGCAGGACCACCTGACTAGGGTCGACGCACTTGGCCCAGGGCCTCTCTTTGCCTAGGAGGTCCTCACCCGCCTCCTGGCAGCCCTGCATGGGGCCGCGCCCAGGGAGCCCGGGCAGAGCAGAAAGCGACCACTGTTTGGCAACTTCCACGGCATGCACAATCCAGGGGTCTGCGTGGAACTCTCTAGGCGAGACGCGAAGACGAAGGCCGACCGAGCTTTCTGCAGAGAGGCGGCCCTCCGCACGAAGGGCCGACATCCTGAGGCCACGCAACCTGTGGTCCGAGGTCCCCGCCACCGCGCTCCACCAAACCAACGTCTCCGTCGGAGACCCCCTTTGAATCGCGATGCAATTGGCTCCCGCAGCTCGGAGCTGTTGGGCTCCAGCCAAGACTCGTTTGGCCTTGGCTCACCTTTTTGTCATGTCATCCTACGCGCCTGGCTGAGCAAAAACTAGCGCCCGTGCCAAGGCAGCGAGCCCCCATGGGGCGATCCTCATGTCCGAGGGACCAGTTAGAATTGAGTTGGGCAGCCACTTCGGCTGACGAGGCCTGGTCGCCAGTGTTGTCCCGGCTGGCCCGAAGACGCTTACCTCGGAGCCCGCGGACGAGAGCCGTCATGGCCTCAGGACACTGGGAAACGACTTGCTCCCCAGAGCCAACCGCATGGAGCCTGAAAAATCGCCCACGAGCTTGGAATCTAACTTCTGGACATTCACGGAAGCTTGACCACCAGCGCGTGCACCAGCAGTGCAGCAAGCGCCGAGAGCGCAGCTGCGCCCAGCAGCCCGGCATGCCGTCTGCCGAGCACGCCGACGCAGCCGCTCTCTGTCCAGCCGGTGCACCGAGAAAGCATATTTGCCGAGCGGAAGCACGCAGGCAGCGCCAGGGGGAAGTCGGTGCTGATGGCCTCACACCTCAGCTCCTCGTGAGAAATGAGCTCGTGGCGTTTTGACAGGTCCGGCAGCCCGGTGGCCGCCGAACAGCCCTTCAAACGCGCGAAGCATTGCAGCACAGCGTGGACCAGCCCAAGTCTGTCACAAGTGTGTCCAGAGTCACCCCCGAGGGCGGCATTCTCTAGAGACTCCCCCTCAGCACCGAGCAACAGCCAGACGGCACCACGACCTCACACCTCCTGGGGGACTGGGCCTGCTAAGGAAGAACACTAGGAGCATCCAGAAGTCTGGATCTCTTGGCATCTTTTCCCACGCATGCAGGATATCCAAAAACACCTGCCTATACGACTGCGGAAGGTAAGCAAGCTGCCTGGGGTGAAACATATCTGGATGACTATGTCAAGCTCTTCAAGCGTAATAGCCTGGAGCTCCGCGTACGGGTCCAGCCTTCCAACAGACCCCGCCACACCAGGAGAGCCCGAGCTAGGCCCGACAGCTGCCACTTCGCCCCCGCCAGCCTCCGCCAATTCTTGCGGCCGCGAAACATCCCACTCAGCAGGATGCTGCTCCTGCCATCTAGACTCGTTGACTCAGAAAGAGGTCCAGGTGGCCATGATCAGGTCAATCGCCTGTTGGTCAGCCACTGGCAGCGTGGGGGTAGCCTCCAGCTCCTCCGTCTGCATCACAGAAGGCTGCACCGACTCGCGGACGAACCGAAAGGCGGCACTGCCACCATGTTGCCGCCTAGGCCCACTCGCCAAGCTCTGGCCGCTTCAGCCCGACTCGCCCTCGCCTTCTGACGGGTGACCAGGTGCTCGCGCATGGCTTCAAAGAAGGAGCAGCGACACACACGCGCCAGTTGTTCGTCGTCGCCAGACGCTAGCAAGTCCACCAGCTCATGTCTCGAGATCTCAGACCACCTGCCAACAAATCCTGGCTCTGGCCAAGTACAGTTCACGATGCGACTAATACTTCCCTTGTTGCCTGCGCAAGGCCGCAAGCGAAGGGGCTCGACTCACTCTGGCTGCGAAGAGGAGGAGGAGGAGGACGAGGAGGAGGAACAGGGATGGAACTGAGGAGGAGGAGGAGGAGGAGGCGGAGGAGGAGGGGACGGGAACAGAGGAAGGGGAGGGGAGAGGGAGGAGGATGAGGAAGAGGAGGAACTGAGGAGGAGGAGGAAGGGGAGGACGGGTGAGGAGGGCAACGGATAGGAGCAGAGGAGAGGGAGGAGCAGAGGAAGCCCACACGGAGGAGGCAAGCTCCTTGTTCTTCTCTCCCCCCCTCTCCATCTCCCCCCACCTTCCCACCTCCCTCCTCCCTCCTGGAGGAGGACGACGGGGAGCGACCTCGGGCGACAGTCGCAACGAAATCCCCGTCACGATCCCCGGCGGGGGAGTAGCTGGGAAAAGGGGAGAAAGAGAGAAAGAGAGAAAGAGAGAGAGAGGGACATAGAGAAACAAAGACAGAAGGAGAGAGAGAGAGAGAGAGCAAAGAGACAGAGAGAAATAGGGAGAGAGAGAGAGAGGGAGAGAGAGAGAGAGAAACAGAGGGAGAGAAGGAGAGAGGGAAAGAGGGAGAGGGAGAGAGAGAGAGGGTGAGAGGAACAGCGGAAGCAGGAGAAGCAGAAGGAGGAGGGGGGAGGGCCTCATATGTCCCCTCAGCCTCCCGCTTGTCCTACTCCCGATTACTTGTCCGAATTGCACAAACCCTAGACCCTAATCGAAGTCCCTCCCTCCTTCATCCTCCCCCCTCTCCTCCTCCATCTTCCTCCCTCTCATCCTCCTTCTCCGCCTCCTCCGCCTCCTTCTCCTCCTCCTCCTCCTCCGCCTCCTTCCCCGTGGCACAATCTCATCATTCCCTCATCGTTCTCTTCCTCCCGCTCCTTTTCCTCCTGCTCCTGCTCTTGCTCCTGCTCATGCTCCTGCTCCTGCTCCTGCTCCTGCTCCTCCTCCTCCTCCTCCTCCTCCTCCTTTCCTCCTCCTGTCCTTCCTCCTCCTCCTCCTCCTCCTCCTCCTCCCTCCTCCTCCTCCTCCTCCTCCTCCTCCTCCTCCTCCTCCTTCTCCTCCTCCTCCCTGCTCCTTCTCCTCCTCCTCCTCCTCTCCTCCTCCTCCTCCTCCTCCTCCTCCTCCTCCTCCTCCTCCTCCTCCCTACTCCCTCCTCCTCCCTGCTCCCCTCCTCCCCCTGACCTCTCATCCACCACTGCTCACTCCTGGAAGAGGAGCGACGAGGAGGGACCTCAGACGACCGACGCGGCGAATTCCCAGTCTGGCAGTCCCCCGCGCGCAGGGCGCGGGGGAGGCGAGCCGCCCGCCGGCGGCAGGACGCCGACCAAAGGAAGCGTGCGCGCCCGCCGCGGGCGCGGGCGATGGTGGCCGGCAGGCAGAGGCGCTCCCGCGCGTCTATGGCCCAGGGAAGGTATCCCCGGGCGGGGGAGGGGCCTTGGGAGGGTCGAGGTTCGCACGGCTCGAGGCGGGGGGGGAGGGGGGCGGAAGGGGGTGGGCGATGGAGTGGGCGATGGAGGGCGATGGAGGGGGCGATGAAAGGGGGTGGAGGGCGACGGAGGGCGATGGAGGGGGGGAAGGGGGTAAGACGAAGCCAGGAGGAGAAAGTCGGGTGAGGGTAAATCGAGAGTCTGTGAGATCTGGCGGTTCTGAAGGACGTCTCGGGCGCCGCGGCCTTCTCAGAGCCTTCCGGAACGCTCTGGGAGCGTTTCGGAACGCTCTGGAACGCCCGAGGAGGGGCCTCTGGAGGGTCGAGGTTCGGACACTTCCAGACAGGTGTTGCTGGTTCGTCCAGATGTTCTAAGCTCAGGAGGCTCTCCAGCGGCCGCGCCTCGCCGACCGAGAGCGTGCTGGGGGTGCCCGGACCGTCCCGAACGGTCGCCAGAGGCCCAAAAGATGGCACGACGACAGGCCCATGGCGCGTGGAACAAAATCACGAACGAAGGCATTCGGCAATTCTCGGCTACAGTAGCAGCCCGACGACAAGAAACCTTCTACAAGAAACCCAACCCTGAGACCCCAGGACGTCCATTGGCTTTTGGTGTGGGAACGTCACGCTTTCCATGGCAAAACCATCGAATCCCAAGAAACCCAGGGCACCCTGAAGGCAAGCAGGGTGTATCTTGGCATGGGCCTCCACTGTACATGGGGGGCCTATACGGGCCACGGGGCCGTCAGAAAAAAAAACCTTGGCATGAAAAGACTGAGCTGAGGATGGGGTCCAGGCCTCCAGGGGCCCACGATGCGCAACAGATCATGAGGTCGCGGGCCTGGGCAGGGAGAAGAGAGGACGACTGGAAGGACGAGGGGGGAGAGAAAGAGAGAGAGAGAGAGAGGAGGGGAGGGAGGGAGGAGGGAAGCGAGGGATGATTGCGGAACGTTGATCGGGCTTCTCTGGCGTCTTGAGTCCTTCCAGGGCCTCCGGATACTTCTAGGGGCCCCTAAAAGTTCCCCCTGGGAGCCTCTGTAGGCCTCTGGGGAGGAAGAAGGTAGCGCGTGATATGGCATCCACAGGAGGGGGAGGAGAAGAAGAAGGGGGGGGAAGGAGGAGGGGGATGACGTCGAAGGAGGCAAGATGAGGAGGAGGAGGAAAGGAGAAGGAGGGGGGAAGGTGGGAGGAGGGAGGAGGCGGGAGGTGGAGGAGAAGTCAGAGGGAGGAGGGAGGAGAAAGAGGAGGAGAAGGGTAGAGGGGGGAGGGAGTTTGTTCAGGGCCTGTACAAGAAGGAAAATGAAGATGGACGAGGAGCAGGAGGAGGAGGAGGAGGACGAGGACGAGGAGCAGGAGGAGGAGGAGGAGGAGGAGGAGGAGGAGGAGGAGGAGGGGGAAGAGGAGGAGAAGGAGGGAGAAAGGGGAGAAGGGGGAGGAGAGGGGGGCACTTTAGGGAGTCCAAGGCTTTCTGGACGAATCCAGGTCGTTTCAGGGAGGCTCTCGAACCCTTTGGGCCCGCTGGACCCAAAGGTGACTCTGAGGGGGTGCGGCTGGGATGGCGAAAGGGGTCAGTCCAACCTGCTCCGGGCGCGGGCAGACTCAGTACGCCTTGAGTTCCGCGGCGTCTGGCTTGAACAACGACTTGTACTCCGCGATGTGTGGCGCAGAGTCTGGGATGGGGATGAGCTCCGCAGGCTTGATGACGGCGTCGCACATCGGGCAGGAGTCCCCGTTTTGCAGGGCCGCCAAGAAATGCGTCCTGCGGCCGGGGAACTGGCAGCTGGGGCAGCGGGCCCAGTCTTCCTTGAGCATACGCATGCCAGTGATGATGCAGAACGGGGAGATGTTCATGCAATTCGGACAGTCCAACTGCGAATCCGGCAGAGAAAAGCCGCAGTGCATGCAGTTGGAGGTGACCTCCTGGAGCTCCTCCTGGTCCTCGGGCTTCCCCTTCCTCACGATATTTTCGATCTTCTTCTTGTACTGTTCTGTGATCTGGGGTCGGTTCTCGGGCTTCATGAGCTCGCAGGCGTACTTGTAAGCGTCACTAGTCATCTTGGCGCGCTGGCACTCAATAACAACCGAGGTGAGGATGGGTACAGTGTGTGACTGGAACTGCTGGATATGTTTGGCCACGCGCAGCAGCATACGCGCGGCACCTGGGTGGTCGCCAGCCTTGACCAAACGCTTGACGATCACGTAGGAGTGCAGGATCACGATCCGGCGCCACAGCTCTTGCGGCAGCGGCAGCTTCTCCCTCCGCAGGTCCTGGTAGCTGGTCAAGAGGAGCTGGTGCGCCGCCTTTCTTAGAGGCGCGAACTGAGGGAGGGGGGAGCGAGGGGGAGCCATGCCCTCAGCGAAGGCATGGAGCATCTCAGAAGGGAACGGCCATATTTTATGGGCTCATGAGTAGCGCAGTCTTCTACGCCACAATAAGATATGTAAGTACACCCTCCGACGAATTGTGCATGTACCTTCAGGGACGGTGGTGGTGTAGAAAGTTGTTGGCTCTCAGTGGTGATCTCTACAGAGCCACCCTCCCCTGAGGCCCAGGAACAATCGATTGGAGGGTGTCTGTATATATCTGTGGCGGAGAGAAGATCAGTGTTATCAGAATGCAAAGGGGCTTCTGAGAGGCAGGTGCCTGCCTACACGGCCGCGCCCTTCGTCCTGCCCTTTGAAGAAGCGCCGACAAGCCTTGTAGTTGCCGTCATCCTGCTCCTGCCTCGCTATCATAAGCGCTGCGTTTGCAGCCTGCAAGTGGTTGCCCAAGACCTTGTGCAGCTTGCAAATGTACACTGGCGCCTTCGGCACATTGTCGGAGTCACCCATAAGGTAGGACGCGAGCTGGTGCGTCAGTGCGTCGTTGCGCGCCTTCCCAGCGACCTCAATCGCGTTGTCGATCTCCTTCTCGCCGACCTTAAGGTAGAGCTTGAGGGCCGTGTGGTACTCCCCGCAGAGCGAATAGTGTTTGGCTGCCTCCGAATTGCGGGACCGCTGTTCGTAGTATCTGGCAATGACCGCGTGCTGCTCCTTGTCGCCATGCTCCCCGAGATGTTCCTCATAGTTGCTCATGGCGTCGTGCCTCTCGGCCAGCTCGAACGCTCGCTCGTCCATCCTGGCCAACAGGAAGAACTCGATTGCGCCCGGGATGTTGCCCTGGCTCATGCAGTAATCCGCCACCCGCTCAGCCCCGGACGCCAGCCCAGTCTCACGGACCAACTGAAAAGCCCTTGCTGGCTTATCGAGTTTCTCCAAGCTCAACCTCACCACACTGTCCAAGTCTCGCGCTCGCTCGTAGGCTTCGAGCGCCTCGTTGTATGCGCCGCGGGTCTCCTTCGCCTTTGCAAACTTCATGTGGATCATGGGCGTATGTATCTTGCTCATGAGGGGAGCCGCAGCGTCGAAGTTGAACTCGTGGATGTACAAGTTTGCTGCCTGGTCGAAGGCACCGGCTTGGACGTACATCTCTGCCGCCTCGGAGAACTGCCGCATGCGCACCAGCGACTCGGCGCAGTCCTTGCAAACGGCGGGGTCGCCGAGAGACTTGGCGGCCTCCATCCCCTGGCTCAGGTCGCCGAGCCGCACCGACGTGCGTGCGATCCCTGCACGGCACTGGTTGGCGTGATCTGGCGTTGCGTCGGGGCTGTTCTCGCCGCCGCTGGCGGCCTCGTAGTGGTTGAGGGCCTGCTGGTACTCCCCCTTAGCCTCCAGTGCCATGGCGCTCTTCAGGTAGATCGCGGGCAGCCGCTGCGGAGCGAGTGACTGCGCGAGGGAGATGGCCTTGTCCCACTGCAGGAAGTCGCAGTGCATGTCCAAAGCCGCCTCTGGGCAGATGCTCTGAAGAAAGTGTTCCCGCGCCTTGTCGTATCGGCCTAGCAGGCTGTCCACGTGGCCACTGAGCAGCTGCTTGTCCTCGACAGTCTGGATCCGCTCGAGATAGAGCACCATCCCTGGCGAGGGAGCCTGGCGGTAGGCCTTCTTGGCCCAAGCCATGTCGAGGCACTCCAGGCAGCGCCGTCCCATGGCAATCCAGAGGTCCTTCTGGCCCAGGGAGAGGCCCAGCTTGAACGCCTGCTGGAAGCGGTTGAGGCTGAGAGCCTGCTTGAAGCTCGCCTTCAGGCGCTCGGTGGGCTCGCCAGCGTGCAGCACGCCACCCAGCAGCTCGTGGCTCCGCAGGCGCTGCTGCAGGAGGGCCCCGTTGGCCTGCTGGCACCACGCGACGCCGTCCAGGAGCAGCAGGAGGCTCTGGCCCTGCCCAATCTCTGTGTGCATCTTGTCGATCCTGAGCTCACCCTCTGGCCCGATGTCCACGCTGCCGAGGCAGCGGACGGCGCTGCCACCAACCTCAACGTGTGCGTACATGAAGGTAAAGACTCTGGAGCTGTCCACCGCAGCGAAGACACCAGAGTCCAACGAGTCCCACACTACCTGAACACGATCTCCACCGGCAGGGAAGTCTGGAACGATTATGCAATCGTCGTTGACGGGGTTGTACAGGAAGGCAGCCCCACTGACATCTACGATGATGCAGCGGGTGCCCTCTTGATTAGGGAAGAACTTCCTGATACCGCTGGAGTGCTTGTACTCGTTAACCTCAGTCTGGTCGACAAGCGAATAATACTGTACGCGGCCGTTGGTGTGCGCGTAGATTAGAAAGCCTGCAACGATGTAAGCGCAAGTGATCTGGCCATCGCCTTCCCTTCTCGGAAAGATCACCATCTTGCCATCACCCTTCTCGATTGAATGCAAGAACAGGCGGCCCCCCTCGATCAGGGTGGCGGCGTGAGTGGCGTTGAGGCTCACGCCCTTCACGCTGCCGACGTACTCCATCTTGTTCACGAGGGTGTTGGTGCCGTTCGACGACGCAGAGTAGTACCAGCAGTTGTTGTTGAAGGCCGCAGCGACGTGGTTGGGTCCCAGCGCGATGAGGCCAGGTTCCACGTCGGTCTGCAGCACGACCTTGCCCGCCGCCTCGTCGGCGCAGTCGCAGACAGTGAGCTCCTGCAGGGACGTCAAGTACGCGAGCCTGGTGTTGCAAGTGGCTGACAGTACCGTGAGCTTAGCCAGGTAGCAGTAGATGAAGCCAGTCTCCGTGCAGAAGGACAGCAACTCGCCGTCGTCCGACCAGTGCATGCTCACCACCTTGGCCTCAGGCCGCAACTGGATCCGCTCGTTTGCTATTTCTTTGAAGTCCTTCCCACTGATGATCCTGATGCCGTCGTCACCGGCGGATGCAATTCTCTCGGCGACCTTGCTGCAACACAGGCAATAGAGCGCGTTAGGATGGTATTTTGCAGACGAGGCTTCCTCGACATTGCCGTCGCGGATGCTCGCATTAACGACGACCACCCAGCCGTCAGAGAAGCCGACAACGAGGTACGAGTCCCCGAGCCAGCAGAAAGTCACGATATTGCCGTAGTGCGGTTGGAAGCTGAGGTCTGTAGGCTTGCTGTTCTCGTCGCGCAACTTGTAGACGAGCAGCGACGTGTCGCCGTTGATGATCGCGATCAAACGGTCGCGGTCTGCGGAAGAGTCGCCCGGCCCTGACAAAGCAGGGAACTTGATGGACAATGGTTCGTTCTTCAGCCGGAGTGGCTCGTCCCCTTGACCGGCCAGTGGCTCGCCGTCCTCGGTGTTCACCGTGACGGTTCGGTCCTCCGACCCACAAGCGAAGATATTCTCCAGTGGATGCCACCCTCCACAAGTGATCTTCTTCGAGTGCTTGCCGGCGAGTGCAAGCTTCTTCATGGTTGATTTATTGAATATCGTGACGTTCCCACGGCCAGTGCCAACTACGAGCTGGGGGCCCAGCTTGGACCAGGAGAGCCACGTCGGGTCCTTGGAGTGGAGCTCCAGCGTCTCGACCTTCTTGTCGGCCTGCCGCCAGAGCTGCACGCTGTCGTCGCCAGACTGGAGGATGGCCAAAAACTCGCCGTCCTTGTCCCACTCCAGCTGCAGCACCTTCGCCGTGGATCTCAGCTGGACCTCGGTAACCTGCTGGCCGCGGCGGTCAAAAAGGAACAATATCCTCTGGCCCTCGCCGACCGACGCGACGAAGAGGCCGCCAGGCTGCCACGCAAAGGTGCACCCGCCGTTCCCATGGTGCTGGGGGCCGATCTGAAAGAGCTTCTTCATGTGCTCATGCGTCGGCTACACGCGGGAGCGACCCTAGGCAAGAGTGGCCCTGCCCAGACACCCAGCGTCTCGCAGAAATCGCGACATACATGTTTGGTGTCGTTGGGATCTCGTGGCGAGATTCCTCGTCACGAGATCCCAACGGACATCCCAGAGCGTGCCACACACTACCCTGAACTTGACGCGTTCTTGCTGCCTCGCCACGGCAGTAGTTTATCGAGGGGTCGGCGGATGTGGCGTAAGCCTCTAAAATCGTTTCGGCCTCTCGGGACCTTACTGGGGCCTCCGGACCGTCCAAAAACTACTCGGGATGAGCATCCGGTCCCAGGGCAGTGGCCGAGAAGTCGGGGGGGCCCGTGCCTCGAACAAGTCGAGGCGCCGAGTGTCTGGGCGGATGCGCGCCTCGCCCGACGGGCGCGGCCTCTGGCGCACTCGAGGCAGCACGTGGCGGCCTGCGTGCCTGGGTTACGAAACCTATGTTGCATCACAGCAGCAATTCGGCCGCTCCCTTTCGTCCTGGGCTCGGTTCAGTGAAATGAAGAAGTTCGGGCTCCTTACGTGGGAAAAAAACATCACTTCACCAATCTGGGGCCCCTGGGGCCTCAGTGGGCCCTGGGGCCCAAAATTAGTGACGTGATGGTTTTCGGGCCTCGGATGCGTTGCACACACACACACACACACACACACACACACACACACACACACCCCGCGCCCCCAAAAAGCCGCGCACCGAAGTCGGCGGCGAGCCCAGGGGGAATTGAGACGGGGCGGGCCTTTCCAGAATCGGGGACCTGGGCTGGCCCGACGGAGCCGTCAAATGACGAGACCCAGTCTGGAATGTGACGCGAACTTCCGCTGCAAACATCCCACGAAAAAATCCACCGTCCAAATCCGGAACGCGCTCGTCAAAAAGCGTCGGCAACCCTGAGTTCCAGCGCACTCGAGTCTTACGTATCCCCGACAGAAGGCTCGGAAGTCGCCCGGCCTTCTGAGAAGTTGTCTGAGCCTTCCCCGAAGACACCAGACAAATTCTCAGAGGCCTTCTGAGAAGTCCCGCCGCCTTCTGAGGAGGCCTTCTCCTTCTCACTTCCCCCCCTCGCTTGCCGCGCACCAACGGTCACCCCAGCGAAGGGCCGCTCTCACGCGTGGCCAACATGCGGCGGGAGGCACACAAGTCGGGGTGAGCGGAGCCCGGCGGCTGCGGAGCAGGGGGGGAGCGATGAGGAAGGAGGGCGCGCGTGCCTCCTCCTCCTCCTCCTCCTCCTCCTCCTCCTCCTCCTCCTCCTCCTCCTCCTCCTCCTCCTCCTCCTCCTCCAGGATGCCTGGAAAGGCCCCGAGAATACCCCCGAGGCGCGCCTTGCGCGGTGCCGTGCGCGGCGCCTGCAGAGTGGCCTGGCACCCCGCACGGCGCGCAAGCAGGGCGCAGCGGCGCAGAGAAAGATGGGTGAGGGGACGCTGGAGGAGGAAGTAGGTGGAGGAGGAAGGGAGGGGGAGGGGGTGCCGTGAGAGTGCGGGGGAGACTGGCAATTAGCCATGACAAGCAGTAACAGCAGCAATGAGGATGACAGGTCAGATGTGAGCCGACAGGCGTATCCGAGGACCATGCATGTATACATATAGATATGTGTATGTATAAAGGTAGATACGAATCAAACACTCCAAACAAAAAAGCTGCTGCGCGCTGTCTCGACCTTGTACCGGCGACCGACCTCATCGCACACAGTCGAGAACTACATCAAAACGAACAGTCGAAGGGCAGCAAACGCGGCGCAATCGAGCCCAAGACGTAAGTGCACTCGCGCCCCACGTACGGCGGAGGCAGAGGAGAGAGTGGAGAAAGTGGAGGATGTGAGGAGGCGAATGCTGAGGAGGCGGGGAACGAGGCAGAAGAGGCGAGGGAGGGAAGGAGGACCCGTTGGACTCTTGGGCGGAGCTCCTCCCAACAAAAAGCTAGCTATGCCCTGCTACCTGCTCCTTCCTCCTACCTCCTCCCTACTCCCCTCCATGCTTCCTACAGCCTCCCCACTCCCTCCTCCTTCCACAATTGCACAATATGAATACTATTCGCCTCTCTCCCCCGAAGACCCCGCGGTCGTAGCGTGCCCCCCTCCGCGTAAAGTTTTCACACACGCAGGACCCCCAGAAGGTGATCGAGTATGTGTGCTTCTCCAATCCGAACGTCTTCGGTGTTTCCAGAACTGCGCTCCCGCTACCGCGTTGGCTCCATTCTCTGGCTCTCGATCCTTCCAAGCCATGATCTAGCTGCAGCGCTGACCTCATTGTGTTGCGGATCTTACAAATCGTGTTCCCGCTCAAGCGTTGGCTATTATGTTACGCTTCTGCTCTTTCCGAACTTACATGTGCCGTCTTGCGTCATGCCTGGTGTCCCTCAGAACCTGATGTGGCGTGAATCGTGTTCTCGACCAGCGCTGGCTCTCATGTGACGCTTCCGGTGTTTCCGCACCGTCCGTCTGTATGCATCGTCCTGCGTCATGCCCGCTCTCCCTCAGCACCTGTCCTCGAACAAAAGTCGTGTTCTCGATACGCCGGCGCTCTGCCGTGCTCGTCTACGCCGTGGTACGCCGCGCATCACCACGCATCTCGTGCCATCTCAGGATCATTGCCTTGCTCGACATCCGGCTGTGCGAATGGAGAGGAGATCTACGCCATGGTAAGGGACGAGAGGGAGGGGTAGGACGTCAGACAAGGCGATGGCTCCCATGGCGTATCCCCTTCTCTCCCGCTCCTGCCTCCCCCATCCAAGCGTCTCCTCTCTCCTCCCTCATCCCCCCTCCTTCTTGCTCCTTCTTCCCCCTCCTCCTCCTCCTCCTCCTCCCTCACTCCCTCTTTCTCCTCCTCGTTCTCCTCCTCCTCCCTCCCTCCCTCCCTCCTCCCCTCCCTCCCTCGCTCCATCCCTCGTCCAGTGCGGAGGAGGAGCAGCCCCCAGAGAAAGGACCTGAAGCCGCCGACCCTGCCGGCGTGTGTGAGGGGCTTTTCCGTTGTCGTCGTCGTCGCTGTCGTCATCGTCGTCGTCGTCGTCGCCGCTCCCCTCTCTTGGCGCTTTTCCGTTGGACTCGTCGTCGTCGCCGTCGCCGCTCACCCCCTTTCCCTGGGCCCGCCTCCTCAAACGTTCCAGCCAGAGGGAAATCGAGCAAACGCATTCGAGTCGAAGGGAAGCCCCTTCCCTGGGAGAAGATTCCCCCTTCGATGTCTTGACTTTCAGACGCCTCGATCGAGCTCACTTGTACTGCGGCTTGCTCCAGGAGGGCCCTGAAGTAGTCCAAGATCGCTAAGACGGCCCAAGATACCCTCAAGACGGTCTCAGGAGCCCCCAGGACGCGCCATGAGGGCTCAAAGCAGAGCCCCACGAGGGCCCCAAGAGGCGAAACTCAACGACTGTCATGTAGCTATTATACGTGTTCCGCGTCCTGCCTTCTCGGGCTTCCGACGCTCCAATACGGGTCAGGAAGCCACCCGCATCGCCCCACGAAGGTCCAAGAGGCTGCCGAGAGCGCCCGAAAACAGCTCAAGACGGCCCCAAAACGGCCCAGCACGGCCCCAACACCGCCCGAGCGACGCGAAGCGAAACGAAAACAAACGAAACGAAGGCGCCGGAGTCGGGCACACAAATGTGCCCGTGCCCTTTTGGGCAGGGCGCATGAGGCCGTGGCCTCATACCGTGCACAAATAAAAGTTGTAGACGAATTACTGCAGGGACCGACACACAAAGGAGGCAGGGAAGAATATGCGTATGGACCCGAAGAACCAGAACGCGTGACAGAACATGCTCACGGACTGGGTCAGGATCGAGTCGGTGCGGTCGGTGTCCTGGCTGTTGCTGTTGATGGTCGCTGGTCGTCGGTGTGCTTTTGCTGGTGCTGATGTTATGTTGCTGTCGGTGTTGGTGGTCGGTGGTGTTGGCTCTGGTGGGTCGGAGTGCGTGTTGGTGCGGGTGCTGTGGGGAGTTTGTGCGTTTAGCAGTCGTGGCAATGCAAGTGCTCTCGAGCGAGCCCCAAGACCGCCCAAGAGGCCCCAAAAGAGGCCGAATAAGGACCCAAGAGGGACCCAAGAGAAGGGGAACCCCAACCGAGATTTCGAGCCTTCCGCCCTCAGAGGCCCCCAGGAGGCCCCAAGAAGCGCACAAGAAGCGCCCAATAAGCGCCAAAGAGGTCCAAGAGAGCCCCAGGAGCACGGCATGATAAGCCAAGAACGCCGTGACCAGCCGGTGTGCATGTGTGTGGGAAGGCGCCAAGAGAAGCAACCTAATAGGAAGACTTGGTAATGCCGAGGCCGTGCGCTCGAACGCATCAGTGGGGTTCGGCGTCCCGGCGGCCAGTACCATCGACCAGAGGGGAGTACACAGTACGTAATGTCCAAGATCACCCAGACATCCCGCACAGCCGAAAACGCAAGGCACGACCACGTCCAGGTGGAGGCGCGAACTGGTCGTCCATGCATTGGCCCAGGTCTTAAGAATAGCTGTTGAACACGCCAGTGACAACGACTGCATGACTAGACGAACGCCAAGTACATCCACGAGGCCACGCGGTACGCTCGGCCACACCGTGTGTGAGCGACGGGTAAGGAGCGCTGGAGTAGAATCTGAGAACAATGCCGCCCGGATTTCATCCGCAACGAAGCTCTGCAACTGCGCCTTGGAAGCCAAATTTGGTCCGCAAGGCGGCGCCAATCAGCTAGTAGCTGGCGAGCTTGGACTACGATAGGTGGTAGAATACGCCCCAGGACGCGGTGCCCGGGTAATACTACCGAGGCATCGTGTAGAACCGAGGCGATGGGGGCGGAGTCCCAGTGGCTAGGAGATACCACTCCGGTTGCAAAGTTCGACTGCATGTGTGCGACTTGTACCCTGCCGACCATCGGAGTTCGTGATATTAGAGGTTCCCCACGGCTGCTGCCAGAAGCTGGAAGCATTTACGACTAGATGCACATGTGCAGAATGTTAAGGTCAAATACTGGATGCACATGCGGAGGAACCGTGG